TTTTGAAGAATTATTCAAAAAATTTTAAGGTCTTGGGGGGGCAAATGCCCCCTTGCCCCCTCTGGCTACGCCAGTGGTCATAGGTGATGAAATATTTGAATTTTCTTGCCATGTATTAAACAGGTAAAGGCAAAATTAATAAGAATAAAACATCAAAATAAAATAAAAACAGCTATCGGAACATATTTTTAATAGATACATGTAAAAAAATGAGACTTCTCCAAAAATCATACAAAAAACAGGGTGTTCCATTTAAAAAACAGCTCATCCATGGGCGTAATTCTTTGGTTTTTGGTTCAAATGATTTTTTGGTACCATTATTTTTGAGTTCTCCAGAAAAAAAATGTTCCAAATGGCTATTTTTAATTTTCTCAAAAATACAGGTAAAGTCAGAAATAATTCCCTGTTCAGTCCTCGTTGAATGACCCTGTACTATTTACTAAATGACACACACTGGTTAGTTGATCACTTATACATATCAGGTAGTATATCTCTCAATTTGTTTCAATTATTAATCTGCAGTATCTCCTAATTATGTCAACATATTTAGCTTGTTCGAAGATGGACTATAGTTTTCATTCTATAATATTCCAATTTTAGGTGATAAGGAATTAATTGTTCTCAGTAAATAAATAAAAACTACTTTTAAATAGCTTGAAATACCTCGGCTTACCGCGCAATACTTCGAATTACCATGAAATACTTCGAATTACCTCCAAATACTTCGAAGTACGGCAATACCACAAAAAACTAGGTTCGAATTACCACCACCGAAATACTTTGAATTTCGCGAAATACTTACGAAATACCGACATTTTCGCACTACGTGTACACATTTTTACAGAGTGGTTGACCCCTCGGTACAAAGTTACAAAACAGCTGCATTCCTGTACGCACTAGCTGCTAGTTGTTGGGTGTAAATATTGATTCATGCCTAAATTTTCTCAAAATCACGTTGAATGTCTACTAAACAGGCTTTCTTTATCATGTTATGCATTGAGAGTTTTGGCTTAACATTCAAACCTTGTCCTTGATACATCAAAAACTGCCTACTATGGAATATGTATTTTACTCATATCTCAAATATGGTATAATTTTCTGGGGAAGCCCTTCAAATTTAAATACTGTATTCAAAAATCAAAAAATGGTGCTTAGGATAATTAACAAAGCTCTTCTCAAACTGCCTGCGGTTTTAATATTCAAGAGAATTTCATTTGTGAAAAGAAACTCCCATATTTTTGATAGATTCCTAGTCTAGTCATATTACTTGTGGACTTAATGTCTTATATAATATTCCCATGGATCACCTTACATTAAGGGTATTGAATGCGCCGTTTAAAATATATTGTAATGCACGTCGAACTATACGACTCCCAACAAGTTAATGCTAATAAAGATGCGAGGTTCATCGCGATTATTGCATTGGGATACTGTTGGGCCGGTTGGCCTTGGATCCTTCATGATAGCGATTTAAAATTTATCGCAAATCAGGCGGAGGAAAGAGCCATAGGGTTTGCTGCAGGTATAACAGAGACAGGCAAAATGACAAGAAGAATTAAGTAAATTTCTACAAAAAAAACTAGATGATTTTTGGGATTCTGGTTTGTGCTATTGTATTGCTAACACACATAAGATTGGCGCTAAATAAAAAAGACACCATAAATTGATTAATTTTCTCGTTTTTTTTCCAGTTTAAATTACATTTTTGAAATTTTTCGAGAACTCGTTTCTATTACCGGATTTCTAAAAAGATAGAGCCATTCTTCCCTATATTATAAATCGAATGCAAAAAAGAAATTTGATATAACTTCAACTGCTAAAAAGTTACGTTGAAACTAAGAACGCAATGCATTCCTTGTTTCATTCATCTCATTCTCACTAAGGAGTATTAATAGGGGGGGAAGAATACAATGATAGACTGCGTTAGGTGCTTCGCGCAGGAAAAAATATTTTGGCATCGAGGCGCATTCAATCCCCTTAACTGAAAAAAATTACTTTAATTCCTGCATAAAACTGTGCAACCAATCACCAAAGAAAGTTAGGGATATAAATAATCTTAAACTGTTTGAAAAAAATCTCTTGAGTGATATAGCTTTGTAGGTTTACGGATTTTTATTTATATAGGTACTTTAAGTGTTAATTTTGATAATTCAATGTAAAATGTTTTGTTATCTCTATGTGTATTTTTGTAATGAAATGTATGCTGCATATAACCTAGCCCTGTTTTGAACTAATTGCAGTATCTATTATTATAGTTATTTGTCTCAAAATAAAAGAAATTATCTATTCATCTACCTATCTACTTTTGGAAAACTTGGAGCCCTTGTTGAGAAAATAAATAAAAAAGAAAACTCTCTAAATAAAAACATGAAATTTATCCACACCTCGTCACAACTTGACAGTGTTGCCACTCATTGCTAGCACTGAAAAGTAATATATTTAATTCTAAAATGTTGGCAAAATACCAAGAAAAATAGTTAAATTAATTACTTAGGAATTTACTAACAATTTTTTTTTGAATTATTATCATACACAAGTTAAATTTATTCTTTGGAATCAGTTTTAATTTTTTTAAACTTACTAGGTACTACTACTATACTTTGATTGGTTTAGTGGTTTACTTGGGAAAGCGTAACAAATAAACCAACAAACAAACTCACATTCGCATTTATAATATGAATTATAGTTAGGATTTGAAGGTGTCTCTCCTGATCCTGAAAATACTAAAGTTATTTGAAATTATCTGATTCCTAAAGATGCAAACGAAACCAAAAGATTGGTCGATAATAGCAATTATCTCAAAACTATAATTTCGCACACTCATGGTTCTAGCATGGGACGGACGATATTGTATTACTGACGTCCTGAACAAATAAATATAATATAGTTGGGTTTTATACAGTGAAAACTTTCAACTTTCTGAAAGTAAAAAAGTTAGAAAACGTGATTTGTCACAAATTTTTTTGCAGGTAGGGGAACTAGAACTACCATATTTTTTGGTTATAATGACCTCTAGGACCCCACGCACACCGACCCCAATATTTTAAATGGCATTAGCCCGTTTGTGATACCTAAAATTAAATATTCTCTGAAAAAATTCTTGTGCAGGTGAATCTCAAGGACAATACTATACTCAAAAATATTTAATTTTAGGTGTCACAAAAAGGGGGGTTCCATTCAAGATTTAGAGGTTGGGGTGCATGGGGCCCAAGGGGCCACTCACCTCATAACTAAAATATGGTAGAACCACCATATTTATAACATTTGCACAAAATTACGTTTTTCTAACTTTTTTACTTTCAGAGATATTCACATTGCAAATTGACGACTCCCAGCATGAGCCTAGTAGTAAATTAGCCAACGAAGTTATCACAATAATAATATGTGAATACATTTCAGTTGAAACTATTATAATAATTTTCAGTATCTATTTATGTTAATTATATATATATATTTTTTAATTCTACTAGTTTTTCCATGAAAATCTATTTCCTAACTGGTCTGGCCGGGCAAAACTGGTTGCAGTTGTCAAAAAGGCAGCTTAAACTGCAGAGTGCTCCATCATTTGCAGTGGGCAAACGGCAACCTATTGTGATATGTTGCAGAATAGATGATATAGACATCATGTCAACAGGAATGATCAGTAGGAGGAAGAATTTACATCAGTGGAGGATATGACGAAGCTTGTTATCCTCTACATCATATAAAAAATAATACAAATTAATTTTAAGATATTCATCATAAACTTTATATACCTAAGTATGTATTGGGTTAAAAAATAAAACTGTTTCAAACAAAAGAGTATCTTGCATCATTGTCTCAATAAAACTCGTTTACTGGAATGAAGGCCAGGCCTCTTTCATATTTTATTTATTTATTTATTCCTTTAAGGCCCGGTTTATTAATCTTCAGATGAAGTTGCAGGTAACTATCTGCAAGATAAATTTACCGTTCAATAATTCTATTTATCGATGGGTAATTGGCCAACCAATGGGATAACAGATTGCTTTTTTATCCGTCAGATTGCATACCTGACAGTTAATCAGAAGGTGAATAAACCAGCCCTTAAAATTTCAAATTTGTTACAGAAAGATAACAATTGAAATTATATCAATAAGGCAAGCAATAAGCCCATAGAAGGCAATCAAAATAATTATGTATAAAAAAATACATACTTAATATCATAAGACTTTTCTGAAATTAGACTCATAAGGTGTCCCAAGAACATTCTCAAAAAAAAGTTCTTGTAGCTGTGGAAGACCTGAGCCTTATATCCTTTTTCAAGTGTAAGATTCCCTAACATGCGTTTGAAATTGTGTTTCAAGTTTTTAAAGTTTTCCAAGAACTAAACATAAAATGATAATAAAAAGTTTGAGGCTATCTGAAGTGAAATTCAAAAGTTTATGAATCTATTGCAATTTTGCACCACACAACAGCAGAACAACATCAATTTAAAGTCAATGGTGGCCATCCCTCAAGCTTAAAATCCATCTTATAAATAACAAAAACATTTTTCAAAAACAATAAATTATCAGGTAAGGAGAGTCAGGACCCTGGCGAAACTTTATGAGAAACTATAAAAACATAGATAAAAGCAAAAATAAACAGGAAATTTGATAATTTCTAATGAAATTTGGCCTTCAGGGTGACAAAAACTAATAGTTTAGCTTATCCAGACTGCACAAAGCCCCTGTTTATTTGTATGTTTTTGTTGTTTCATATACTTTAAAAAACTGGCCCCTACAGGAAATAAAATACTAATAGTGTCAAATATTAGAAAGGAATAAAGAATCTCGAAATGTGGATTGGATGTGAAATAGAAATTTCAATAAGCAGGGTCTAAAAAAGATTCAAAGTATTTGTTTTATGAACGTGAAGGAGGCTACTTTCTAAGGTCAAAAAATATGGCTCCTCTAGTAAGGCAATATGGTTAGGAGTCCTAACCTAAAAAATCAAGTCAGAGGTGGAAAAAACTGAAAAAAGTAAAGACTTTTACTTACATGAGGTTGAGGATTGGTGTCATCACCCTCTGAGACGCGTTCCTTTTTCTGTTTTTCTGTTTTCTTGGCAGTATCCTCCAGTTTTTTGGCAACCTCCTCCGTGGTGGCGAATTTCTTCGATGTCGTCTTCTTTTTGCGGTCTTTTTTGGCGAAAAAATCGTCTAGGTCCGCCATAATTAACGATATTTACCAATTTATGGTGCCTAACTAGGAAATGATAAAATTTTTAAAACATTAAAATCAGTGAAGTTTGGATTTTTTGGAATCTCGAAAAAAATTACCTCTCAAATTTGTCAATTGTTAACAATAGAAACTAGAGAGATATATCGCCAACTCAAACCGTTATGATGCGGTATTTGCTCGCTAGCAGGATTCAGGATACACCGTTGACCGCGGCTAGGCTTGGAACGGCCGTTACCTACGTACCAGCTGGGACTGCTGGGACGCGCCAGCGTTGCCGCTTCTCTAATCTTGGGGCGGATGGATGTCGCCACGCCACCCACAAGTGACTTGACATTTGACAGGTTGAGCTGACGGTAAAAGGGCGGATTAGGACTATAATTCTATTATAGCGATTTCCATTTGTAGAATCAGTGCAAAAAAAAAAAATGTATCGTTATCCTTGTATTTCACATGCTTTTAGAAAAAGATGCGGATAACTTGCTCCGGTGTTAGTAGCCCCCGATTTGAAAGGAATAGATGCGTGGTGCAACAAACTTTTCGAAAGGAATAAGCGCGTAACGCCCCGGAGCTCCTCCTAGGTGTGAAAGAAATACAACTATTCCTTGCACACATAGGAGGAGCTCCGGAACAGCTCCGGGGCGTTACGCGCTTATTTCTTTCGGAAAGTGTTTGTTGCGATTAGCTCTAGTGTTCTAAACTCTTTTAAGGAATACGCTATGCTATATTCCTTTCAGACCTTGGAGGATCTCCGGAACAGCTCCGGGGCGGTACGCGCTTATGCTTTTCGAAAAGTGTTTGTTGCACCACGCATCTGTTCCTTTCAAATCGGGGTCGAATAACACCGAAGCGAGTAGCTCGAATGTTCCAAACTCTTGAAAGGAATACACTAATTGATGCTACGCAATCACGAGCGCGTGCCAAAAATAATTTCGGCTTCACTGTTCCGAGCGCTTCCCAACCGGGCGGTTACGTCACAGATCTTTGCGGGAGTGCTCCAAGAGCGATTATAATCCAAACGAGGGCACACCATTCGAAATCAATAGCGACCGTACTTTTGAACGGTTTGATCCAAGATTACTTAACCTAGAGCTTTGTACAGACCTGAACATTACGCCGAACAACAAACAGAACAACGTACCGAATGACCATCGGAACACTTAACGCGGACGGGGCTACGAACACTTTTGCATACCGGTTCGCAAATCCTGGCCGTTCATAACTCCGTCCATAGTTTTCGATCGTTGTTCGGTTCGTTGTTCTATTTGTTGTTCGGCGTAATGTTCAAGTCTGTACGAAGCTTTACAGGGGTGCGTTCAAAGACGGCAATGCTGATGCCAAAACCTACTTTTCCCCCTCCACCTGGTAATGCCGAACCACGTAGGTTGGAGCCGAACTCGAACGCAAAATGCCAATTTTGGCTTGGCTGTAGCCATTTCTGAACGCAGCCCAGGACTGCTTATTGAGCTGAAAAATTTTCTGCCATTAGTGCCATTTCAGCCGCAGACGTCAACTCTAGGCGTAAAATGCATTAGCCCAGTTTAAAATACTATAGGTCAAAAAACGAATTCCTAAACGTTAAAATCTTGGTAAAATCACCTTTTCTCTACATAAAAAATCGACGAAAAAACAAGCACAACCTGAATCGCAAGCATCCCATCAAAGCCTGCGGGTGACGTCACCACTATAAGCTGCTATCTAATAGTTGTGACTTCACTCGCAGGCCCGCCGACTCGAGAAACAAGGAACGTACGCCTTGAGGATGAGAAATCCTGTTAGCTTAAGGCCGGAGTTTCATGCATCCGTTTTCCGACGAAATATGTCCGAAAAATCTTCTATTTTGACATATTTTCATACGATTAAGTCAGAATAGAATGTTTTTCGGATATCTTTCGTCGGAAAAACGGATGCATGAAACTCCAGCTTCAGGTACTCATCGAACCATCGAATTGGACGGAGCAAGAAACAGCGCTCTGTGCGAAATTTGAGAGCTTCTCGCTGCTTGAAATCGAACACGTGAATCTCGCCGAGAGCAACGCTCCGTCGTAAGTCGAACATGTGAATCCAGTTTGGATCGCTTTTTGATCAATCGGATGCAGTTTTGGGACAAAAGTCGAAAGCGCTATTATTTTTGATGATGAATTAGGGTGACCATACGTACAGCTAGAGGTGGGCCAATCTGCGATTTTAATGGAACTGTGACAAGACGTGACTGCTCCAGTCGTGTCACTGTGACAAATAGCAGTGATTTTTTGGAGCAGTTTTACCTTGGTTGACGGCCGTACTGCTGATATTATGGTAATGCTACGTCGCAACATGGCATAATCACAGTCATCAGTCACGGCCGAGAAAGATGTTCCAGTTTCTGGCCTGTCCTCTGCAGTAGCGTCTCTATTTGGCGAGACTGCGATGCGATTTTTAATATTATATTATTTCGTTCGCATCACTTAGCTCGAGTTTTGTCCGCGCTGCATCGGTCGGAACTTGAAGCAGGCAGTGACAAAATGTCACTGCTACTTGACTGGGACTGGAGCAGGCCGTGACTGTGCCAGACAAGTAGCAGTGACAAAGTCACAGTTCGTGAAATCGCAACCCACCTCTACGTACAGCATTTCGCTACATTGTACAGCATTTTCAAAGTCTGTCCAGCATTTGATTTTGTACAGCAAACGTACAGCGATTCCGATCCGATCATAATCAAGTTTTTCTTTAAAAAAAATTACGAAAAATTGTCCGTCAATTAACTAAGAGCCGTTTTAAGCCTAGTACTCATAACTGCGAAATTCGCATTTTTTGACATTGCTTCGACAATTTGACGTTTGATACACGCATAAAACGTCAGATTGTCAACGCAATGTCAAAAAAATGCGAATTTCGCAGTTATGAGTACTGCTTTAAGCCTAGTCTCCATGGACGCGAAATCGCGAATTTTTTTTTGCGGATATTTTCCGATTGGTTGGAATTTGACATTTAACATTTGATTTTTTTATGGCGGGAAAAATTCGCGAATTTTTTAACTTCTTGCGGCGTCGCAAAAAAGTTAACTATTTTTTAACTTTCCGCGAAATTTCGCCAAAAAAAAATGAGGTTATGTGGTGTTACTTTCAGTTTAGTTTTGTTTATGTTTTTGTCGGTATGTGCTCTGTTCTCTGTGAGTCGTTGATGTGTTTTGTACTTGTAGATACCTAATAAAGAATGGATACTGCCAAAGAATTGAATATTGTAGACCCGAAAACAGACATAAATTACAGCTTGCTGGTCGATGAGGAAGATTATAATAGGGCCTTAAATGTAATTAAGACAACACCAAGACACATATTATCTTTTTTTGTTTTTTAGTAATCACTTTCATGGTTTTCAAAGATTAGCGTTTGAAATTCAAAGCATTTAAATCAAATTCAAATTGATTACAAACAACAACACATAGGTAACCTTAACCTGTTAAATAAAACGCGAATTTCGCGCTTATGGAGACATGGGAATAATTTGCTCGGAAATAGCCACCAAAAAATGACACTTAAAAAATTCGCTTTCCGCGATTTCGCGTCTATGGAGACTAGGCTTTACACGGCAAAGTTTCTTCACGAAATTGTTGCCGAAATATTTCGTAAGTCAACTTTTCCTGTTTTACACGACAAGAAAAACTTACGAAATATTTCGCTAATAAACTTTCGAAAATGTTCTATAGTTTTTGTGGGTGCGGCCGAGAAAATGCGTGAGTTTCGGCGCACACAATTACAAAATAAAAAGCGCATTCTTTTTCTTCGAGCCTTATGAATCCGTCATTGGATTTCCTATAATAGATAAAGATAGACTGCTATTCGGTGGATCAACCGGTGAAAAAAGTAGTGTTGCGCCCAAAAAAATAAGGTGGGTGGGAGAAGACCAGCTGGGCAAAGCCAAAAGTAAACAAAACTTTATTTATGGAAGGGAAACAGAAATTCAACTCATGAAACTGCAGAAGAGTACAAAGATTCAACAAAAATTAGAAAACGCAAGTTTTATTTGTTTTGGTTTCCAACGTATGAGGTTATGATTTCATATTATTGATGGCAAAACGTTACTGCGCTGGCGTATGACTAATATTTTCACGAAACTTTTGCTAAATTTTATTTGTCGTGTCAAACAGGTAACAAGCGAAACAAGAATAGTAAACTTACGAAATATTTCGGCAATAATTTCGTGGAGAAAATTTGCCGTGTAAAACGGCTCTAACGACATTTCTACCATAGAGCCGTTTTACACGGCAAAGTTTCTTCACGAAATTACTTACGAAATTATTGCCGAAATATTTCGTAAGTTTACTATTCTTGGTTTCGCTTTTTCCTGTTTGACACGGCAAATAAAAGTCTAGCAAAAGTTTCGTGAAAATATTAGTCATACACAGGCGCAGTTACGTTTTGCCATCAATAATAGCTTTGTTTTGGTTCAAAATTTGGAACGGTTCTAGGATTACGTAGAACTGCTTGAGCACAAAAAATAATAGAGGACTATTCTAATACTAGTTCTGAACCGATTCGGAACCAAAAAAACCAAAACACATCACAAAATTCTGAAACAGTAGCTTTGTTTTGGTTTCACTCAGAACTAGTTCGGAATCATCCTGCACATGCGCATATTACAAAACGCGTTTTGGTTTTTTCAGAATCGTAATCGAACTGTGTTGACAAGTGTTTTGGTTTATCTAGAACTTTTTGAAAACAATTCTGGGATTGTTCTAGAACGGTTCTCTCAGTTCTTGCTCTGAAGGAGGAACTGTTTTAGAATTTTGTGTTTTGGTTTTTTTGGTTCCGAATTAGTTCAGAACTAGTATTAGAACAGTCCTCTATTATTTTTTGTGCGCAAGCAGTTCTGCGCAATTCCAGAACCGTTCCAAATTTCGAACCAAAACAAAGCTAGTTTCTCTTTCAGAGCATGGACTGAGAGAACCGTTTTAGAACAATCCCAGAACTGTTCTTAGCTACTTCTAGATAAACCAAAACACTATCAACACAGTTCGATTACGATTCTGAAAAAACGAAAACGCGTTTTATAATATGCGCATGTGCAGAACGATTCCGAACTAGTTCTGAGTGAAACCAAAACAAAACTAATATCAAATCATAACCTCATACTTTGATAAACCAAAACAAATAAAACTTCCGTTTTCTAATTGTTGTTGAATCTTTGTACCCTCCTGCAGTTTCATACAGTTGAGTTTGTTTTTTCCTTCCATAAATAAAGTTTGTTT